CGGGGGGGGCGAGGGGGGTGTGGAAGGGGCCGAGCTTCCCACAAAACAGGGCTGTGTGCGAGGAGAAAGTGCATCAGTAAGGGGGAAAACCAGGCTAGGGGGCACTTCGGAGCAAGCGACGGGAGAGGAGCGATTGCAAGGGCCGGGCAGGGAGAGACAAAGAGAAGGGAGGGCATGAGCGCAGGGAAGGGGCGAGAGCAGGGCATCGGCTGAGCTACATCGCGCAGGACAAGCTCTTCCCCTCCGACACGCAGGGACCGGTCCCCCTCTTTTGGCAAAGAAGACAAAGGCGCGAGTGGCCCCATGGGGAAAGGGGGTGAGAAAGGAGGGGAGGCGGGGGAGCCGGGGGCGCAGATCCCCTTCTACACCTGGGAGGAGATCCAGAAGCACAACCTGCGGACGGACAAGTGGCTGGTGATAGAGCGAAAGGTCTATAATGTCACCAAGTGGGCAAACAGGCACCCGGGGGGGCACCGAGTGATCAGCCACTGCGCCGGCGAAGATGCCACGGTAAGGACCCACGCACGGACACCCACGCGAACCTCCCAGCTCCCACCAGCCACCTCTGACAGGTGCCAGCCTTCCTGCTGGCCACTGGCTTTTGTGTCCCCCCCTTCCCATCACCCCAACACCCGCTGGGCCCCCAGCTCATCTCCCTCCCCGCTTTGAGCTCGGTCCAAATTGATGCAACTCCGCGGCAATCAGCTCCCCTGAGCCAGGGCGAGCCCGCAGCACCCGCACGATGGGTTGGTTAGGGGTTTGCCTGCTTAAATCCTGCCGGTTTGTCTTTGTCTCTTTGGCTGGGCTGTGCCTGGAGCTCTGAATTCAGGAGCCAAGTGTCCCAAGCCTTCCCCTCCTCAGCCTGTGGCTTATGGCTTGCGGGGTCGCAGCAGCCAAGCACAGGAAAGGGTTAACGAGAGGCCAGTCTGTGTTTCAAAGTTGCTTCTGTGAGGAGGGTGAGCTTGAGGCTTTAAAACAAGGAGCTTTTTAAAACAAGGAGCTTTTTAGCTTTTTTTTTTTTTTTTTTTCTCCCCAGGAGAGGATTCTCTAGAGAATTCAGTTACAGGTTTCTACAGAAAAAATAAAAAAAAAAAAAGGAAAACTATTCGCTGCTGCTACAGCTGCTCCTGCGCTTCATAGCTGGTTTCAGCAACCTCTCATGTTTCAGCAACTTAAAACCCAAACAAAACCCCCCCAAAACCCTTGAAAAAGGAACAAATTGCCTCAGAGACTGTGGTCTGCAGATTCCCTCAAAGCCACCTTCTTCAGAGGTGCAACCAGAGAGCACGTTTGCTCTCCAGGGCATTAGCCCATAGTTAATAAAATTTAAACTGCTTCAGAGCTTTTCCGAATATGTGCATGGTAAGCGGCAGGAGAGACCAAGCTGTAACATTAACTGTTCGTCTCCCACAGCTCTTAGCACTTTAGCAAGAAGGAGGCTCTGTGTGCGGCAGAATTAATTGCCAAGAAATCCTAATGCTTTCCTTTCCGTCAGCCTCCATTTGCCTGTGGACTGTGCTTACTTTCCATTCTTTTCCTTGAAGCACTGAGTTACGTTTTGGTGTTCCTGTCCCCTTTCCAGTAAATCCCCTGAATGAATAGCTTTCTCCGTCAAAAAGATGGGCCAAGGTTTTACTTTCATCTGCTT